GGGGGCCCTCGCCCAACCATTGACCTAAGGCAGTGGCAATTTGAACTTTATTCACAAGAAGATCCAGTATGAGCAAGCACAGAGTCTAAGGCTGCAGCTCACTGGATCACTGTCACCAGGCCTACGCACCTCTACCAACTCACAGCCAACCCTATGTCATAAACCCCTCTCCCTGGCACAGTCGTGTTATAGGCTTATGGGGAGTTCACATACGCTACAGCTCACAGTTACTTCCCATGTGCCTTGAAATAATCTAAGATTTTCAGATTTGGGATTCAACTAGAGATAGCTTAGAAGAGCTAAGGAAAGCAGTTATGGGCTCTATGGACTTGCAGTTTGTACTGCATGTCCAAACATAGGATTATGTAAGTTTAAAAATATATTGGAGTTTAAATTTAAAATGCCTTGGCTCCAATTTTGGCCAACTTGTCCTACAATACATCCTCCTGTTTCATACTCTCTTCTCAGGCAACCCAGAAGCACTTTACTGCTAACTGATTTAGGAAAGATATTGATACCATTACATATTTGTAAGAGAAAAACAATAGCTTCCTTCCTCAGAGTTCTCTGGAAATAGTGCAGGCTTGTTGGGCTTGTTTCAGTTTCTGTTTTGGCATGCTGAAAACTCATAGAGGACATACATGACATTTCAACCACAAATTCAATGGCAAAATACTTGAAGGACACCTTTGCTCAGGCTGCCATCACACAACACTATGGACTGGTGGCTTCAGCAACAGACATGTGTCATCTCACAGTTCTGGAGGCCGAAGCCCAAGATCAGACTAGCTGATTCCACTCCTAGCGTGGCCTCTTCCTGGCTCACAGACAGCCACCTACTCTCCATGTCCTCACATGACCTTGCCTTCTGCAGTGTGTGAAAAGAGCACAAAGGAGCTTTCTGGTGTCTTTGCTTACAAGAACATTATTCTTATTAGCGTCCCACCCTTATGATTCATTTCACTCTACTTCCTAAAGAGTTTCATCTTCAGATACAGCTACACTGGGGGTTAGGGCCTCAGCAGAATAATTTAGTGGGGACACAAACATTCAGTCCACAGTGAAAGAGCTCCATTACACTTTATCATTTGTAAAATGGCTCTCGAAACTAAAATAAGGAAAGCATCTGCTGTAATGCAAATAAGAAAAATTATGACTTTTTAACAAGGCATAAATTCTAATTTTGGATTTTTTTTTTAATCATAGCTAAATTAAGTTCCTTTATCTTGACTTCCCATCAGGGTAACGTTTTAAAACTTGAATAAGAACACTTGATATTTGCTTTCGTGTTTGCTCATTGTTTCTTTGTTTTGTCTTGTTTTGCTTTTTAATAATATCTCCATGTAGTCTCGGAAACAGTTCTTCCTTTATTGTTAAATAAGTTCCAAGCTTTTGCTTTCCATTGGATTTCAAAGCACTACTCATCACTTGAGTACTAGGTGTGACATTTTTTTTCAGAATTTGCCTTAGAACTCCAAGAAGCCATCAGTGTATCATTTCTGTTAGTACACTGGCTCAGTAAAAGTCTAGACTTCTCGGTTTTATCTCTGCTCTTTGGGGAATGAGTTATCTGATTAAACAAACATGATTTTGATAATGACTAACAACTTGCAATGTTTTCATTCATTTAGGATTTTTAAACATGGAATCCTTTGAATAACTGCTTGAAAGAATGCTGAGGGAGGCCCTCGGGTTCTGGACAATCGTCAATGGCCCAGCTCTCCCCGTTCTCCTCTCCATGCCCCACAGCCATGTTTGTCCTGCCCCCTGACTGCAGCTGACAGAGGCCGGACACCCAACGCTGGCTGACTGGATCCATTGGAAGAGGGACAGAGAAAGCCTAAGCCATAAGATACATTTGCTGGATCTGTTCTTGTCAGTCAAGGGCACCACTTGACAGCAGCCCAGAGGAATGATGCTCAATGCAACAAAAGAAACTCATTTGCAGAAAAAGGAGGAACAAAACAGGTGTATGGACCAAAGCAAAGATAAGAGAGCCTGAAATCTAAGCCCGACTCTCTGCAGTTCCTGCTTTCTCAGAACCTTCTTATCCTCCCGAGCCTCCACTGTAATGAGTTGACTCAGAGGGGAGTCAGCTCTTCACTGTTTTAAATTAGTCTCCCGAATGTAGGAGACTCGGAGACTTGAAAAAACGAAGGAGCCTGGGATCTGAAGTCTGAAGTCTGTTTATTAGGACTGCCCATGGGTATTTATAGGGTCTGTAAGTGCAGGGTAAAACAGGAAATGTCCCCGATGCAAAAGGTGGGGCGCATGTTTGTACCAGACATGGGGCTTCTTGCAGCTTCTACTTGAAACAAAGTAGTGGGCTGCAGCTGTTTGCAGGACAGAGTGCACTGTGCTCTGCTGACTTGTTTGTTGGCCTTACTGGGCAGTGTGCTCACCCATGCACAACATTAGCCAGGGTGGACAGGTACACTCGAGGTCCTGAAGAGTTAGCCACATTACATTAGTAGATAACTCAAGACAACTAAAGGACAACTTCTGTTGCAAAGGACGCTTGAGACCCACAGTTCCCAAGAGGAGGGGGCCATATGAGGAAGCACGGGGGGCTGGCCATGAGACAGAGGGCGGGGGGACCTGTGGACAGTCTGTATTATGGTTTCCATGGGAGGGAACAGGTAGGTTTATGACCACCTACTTTAACTACGTAGCAGGCTCTGGGCACCGGCCTGTCCCAGGCCTGGTTCTGGCACAGCACACAGGGCCGGTGCTCAGTGGCCCAGAAAAGAAGAGTCCTATAAGGGAGAGGGGTTTGACTAGGGGGTGGGGGACTTGTGTTGGGAAAGTGTGCCCCTGGGAGGAGGGTTTTTTCTGGGGGCAGGGTGAGCTCAGGAGAGTAAGATGGAGACAGGAGGTCGGCAAGGTGATGGAGGGATAGCACCAGGTTATCACGCCAGCATGTGCATTTAAGGAGATGTTAAATCATCAGATTTACAGAAGCTAAAAACATGTTAAAACACTTTGCTCAAACATGCTTAAAAGAAGTTCAGGAATTGGTGCAAAAATCCCAGGTAAGAGGCAACCCCAGGACTAGCTAAAGAGCCAAGTTCCTTACTCGCATGCCACAGTGTTTCTTCTGTGCCTCTGCTACCTTTGGCTAGTCTGGCGCCTCCAGTCTTTTTACAGGGTAGCATGGACCCCAGATTCCAAAATAACAAAGGCAAATTCCTCCCCACCCTCCAAAGATTTTCTGATCCTTTCTAGAAGGGAAAATATTGCCTTTGAGAGCAAATTCCCAAACTATCACTGACCTCTAAGCAATAACACAGAATTCATACCTTGCTCAGAATATCAACGGCTAACTTTTCACTTACCTACCATTTAAAATTGGTAGTACACATCATGAGAACGTCAGTCTTTGACAAAGCTGCCTATCGGTTTCTCTGTTTCTAACAAGTTTGGAAGTCTGCAGGATGACTCCACAGAACCCACAGAGCTTACTTCATCATTGAAATGTTGAAGACAATCCTGAAAACACCCATTTGCCTTGATTCTCTGCACTCATGACTTTTGGTCTACACACTCTGTTCCTTGTAACAGATTCACTCTCTCCTGGTCTCTGCTATCCATTTTGAGACTTCACATATCTTACTGGTACAATGAATGGATAATACATTTGGATAATACATTTTTGTGGCTCGTCAGTCCTTTGAGATTAAAACTTCCTTCTGGCAACAGGATTCAATACTTCTTATTCTTCTCTTTCTCTGAGCCTTTATTCCCCAAATAAAAGTATAAGTTATAAAAGGGAAGCATTAGCATAAATGAGCTGTGAGAAATAAATGAAATTTTTAAAAATTGAACTGCTTCTAAGCTACATGGCTGCCAGCTGCTTGATGATTATTATCTTTGGTGATTAGAAACATCTTAAAAATATTTTCACTTCTTAAAGTCTAGTTTTTAGGTAATGTAGTATGAATATGTGGCTGGTCTGATATTAGTTATGGTAAATATTTGGATCATAAATACATTAAAAGCATGAAGATGTATTTATCTCATTGAAATGCATTTGTGTCATGAGCTCTTAAAATGAACAATCTTCCAAAGAGCACAAACACATCTGGTGCACACCCACACAAACACACACGGTGCCACCGATCTGACAAGTGATTGCACTGGCTGGGTTGGTGGGTTCCAGGAAGAGACAAAGCAGGAGCATCCCCACACCTCTGGCCTACACCACACCTATTATATGCATAAAGGAAATTTTAAAAAATAAACCTTTTAAAAAAAGAAGTAATGCCATTTCATAAAGCTTATATAAATGTTTTAGTATTTTTAACTTCACCATTCACTCAATCATTAACCTGTTCAACCAATATGCATTGGACATGTATTAAGTCTCAGGCATTGTTTTCTGTGTCTTGATTACAGCAAAAATCAAAAACACTTTTGTCTTATTCAATCCACAACATGGAGGACTGTGGTACTATGTCCACTTTATAGATGAAGGAACTGAGACCAAAAGGGGTAGATTTACTTGCCCCATACAAACAACTAATAAGTGATAATACTGAGATGCAGAACCAGGTCTATATGTCTGTGAAGCCCATGTACTTTTCAATATACTCTGCTGCCTTCTACTGCTTTACTATAGTCAATGTTTATAGAAGGCTACTCTGGGGTCCTCCCAGGTTAAAGTGCAGCACTGTGAAGCTATTGCAGCCACTGCAGCATGAGTTATATCCCCAGTCAGGGAGGGGGCCCACATGGTCCAGGAGACCTCTCCTGACCCTCCCGCTGCTCCCCTCAGCAGTATATTTCAGTACATCTGCCTGTTCTGCTCCCTACTCTGTCTCTGGGGAACCCTTTAACCCCCACACCTCTAGCCTATGCCCCAGTTCTTGTTTGCAAAAATATACAAATCTTTTTTTAAAAAAAGGCTACTCTGAATTTCAAATAAAAAATATCAAAAGAATCTTTCAGTGACTTTCCTTTATAACTGCAAGAATTGTCTACAATTCCACAAGAACACATACCTTAGAAAGCTGCATGTTTCTTGATATTGTTCTTGTACTCTCTGTGCAAGAATGCAATAAAAATCCTAAAAACAAAGTGAGACATAACAAATCTTTCTCTCCACAAATATATACATATGTATATACACATATACACACACAATACACATACAACACACATGTAATACTATACAAACACACACATAGAGGGAGCAACCTTGTATAATCAGTTACCCTGTTTTTCCTTGGTCAAATCACATGATTTTAATTTGTTTTTAACCTCATATGTCTCCCCTGGAGTAAAGATTTATTTTTTTAAGAAACAGTTCATATTTATTTCATGAAATAAATTTCAGTGGCAGTAGTACTTTTAAAGTATTTCTAATTTTTCTTAAAGTAAATGCATGGGATTTTCAGGTAGCCTTAATTTATTAAAAAAATAAATCCTTCTAATAAGGTTTTTCTTAATTTTTAAATCATATAATTCTCATAATACAAATCGCGATGACATTAGTTGTCCTTCAATCTATTTCACAGAAATTTTTCACCAAATTGCATAATACTACACAAGAAGGTAACAAACTGATGTAGCAAATATATAAAAGGCAAAAGTCCATTTTACTTAACCCCTACCTAACTCTTAGACTTTGAGAAAATATGGTAGTTACTAGAAGGGTTTGAGAAGGAGGTTGGAGAAACAGAGGGAGTCAACCTGATAATGGTGAGTGGCACCTATAGCTATGGTGAGTGGGGGTGACGCACACACATGTCAGGTATGAAGCTGTACTCTCAAAACTGATAGTGTTGTAAACCAATAAAAGTTATTAAATTAATGTTTTTGTGTCCTTTGGGGAGACACCTAGGAGTGGAATTGCTGGATCATATGGCTCCATTTTTAGCAGTTTGAGAAGCCTCCACCGGGATTATAACTGAGATGAAAAAATTACAAAATGAAGAATAAGGCCCTCCCTGGTGGCGCAGCAGGTTAAAGCACAGCACTAAGAAGTTAAAGCCACTTCCACATGAGTTCGATGCCCGCCCCAGAGGTGACCACATGGCGCAGCAGACCTCTCCTGACCCTTCCGCTGCTCCCCTCAGTACTGTGTTTCAGTAGATCAGCCTGTTCTGCTCCCCACTCTGTCTTTGGAGACTCTACTCCCAACCCTACTCCTTGCATTTGTGGTCTACATCCCAGCTCTTGTATGCATAAATAAATAAATCTTAAAAAAAAAAAAACAAAAAAAAACCTCAGGGCTTGCAGAATTGCTGGATTTTCCATCTACAACTGGGGCCCAGATTATTCCTGACCCAGATGCCAATGATGCCAGGCTTCTGCCACTATTATAGGTGCAGTTCTCATCCCTGATCACCACAGCCACAGTCCTCACAGCCTTTCCCTCCAGAATGGCTAAAATGCTGACTGTCAAAGCTTACAGACTGAGTCCCTTTGTTCCCTCCAGGGCTGCTGCCCCCACTCTGGAGTTCTAGGCCCTGTACTGCACCCCCTGGGTATAGCAGAAAGGGTCTGTGGACTAATGTGGGTCCCAGTGATGTCACCTGAACTCCTCACTCCTCTGATCTAGGCAGTGTAGACAGCAGTTAAGAAACAAGTGCAGGCCCTCCCTGGTGGCACAACGGGTTACAGCGCAACACTATGAAGCTATCCACAGCCACTGCAGCACAAGTTCGATCCCTGGCCAAGGAGGCGACCCCCATGGCATGGCAGATCTCTCCTACACCCCCCTGCCTTACCCTGGCTGCTCCCCTCAGGGGTGTACTTCATCAACTTGCCTGTTCTGCTCATTACTCTGTCTCTGGTGAATTCTCTCATCCCCAGAACCTCTGGCTTGTACCCCAGTTCTGTATGCATAAATAAATAACTCTTTAAAAAAAATAAAGGTGCAACCCTAAGACAGACCTGAGCTAAGATAGAATGTGCTTTGAAAACTCCTTGCTCCTTTATTAACTCATCTTTAAAATGGCAGGAACAGTAGCCAGAGTTATTGTAAGGGAGAAATGAATTTCTCTGTATAACAATTATATCTGGCTTGCAAAAAATTATGTTAGCTCATTTATGTTACCCTCAATTATGTTAGCCACTATTACATAATCAGGATTTGTGTGCTTCTTGGCAATGCAGAAAATCATACTGCTTTGGCCTGAGCCCACCTTCCCAGGCCCAAAGCTCCCCCCTTATCTCCATCAGGGAAGGTGCCTTACATGTTCTGGCATAGCAGCCAGTAGAGTAAGGAAGCAACCTGCCTTCTCCCACTGGTCCCAAACGCCTCTTCTTTCCTACTCTCAGAAGCAAAAAGCACACACCTGAATGTTCCTTCCTTTGGTCCCTCTTATCCATGCACCTGGGGCTGATGGGGTTTGAGAATCCACCTCTGAATGCAGACTGCATATTTTATCTGATCCTTCTACCTCTTTAAAGGCTGCTACTACTCTGTCACAGAACACTCCACACGATGCCGTGTGCACTAGGCAGATGATACCTGCCTGACCACTGGCCGTGCGATGACAGGAATAAAGAAAAACACTGGCTGACAAGTACTTAGAAAATGACATCTGATATGAAAAAATGTTCAACACCCATCATAATCAGAGGAATGCAAATCAAAACCACAATGAGATACATCTTACACTAGCGAGACTGGCACATATTTTTAAAAAAACTAGCAACAACAAATGTTGGCAAGGATGCAATGAAAAAGGAACTCTCCTACACTGCTGGTGGGAATGCAAACTGGTGCAACCACTGTGGAAAGCTGTATGGAGATCCCTCGGACTACTAAAAATGGAGCTACCATAAAACCCAGCAATTCCACTCCTAGGGATCTACCCAAAAGACACAAAAACATTAATTCAAAAGAAAATACATGCACCCCTATTTTTATTGCAGCACTACTTACAATAGGTAAGTCCTGAAAACAACCCAAATGCCCAAAACTAGATGATCGGATCAAGAAGATGTGGCATACATACACCGTGGAATACTACTTAGCAATCAAAAGAGATAAACTCATGCCATTTGCAGCAATATGGATGGAACTGGAAGGGATCATGCTCAGTGAAATAAGTAAGAAGCAAAAAGAAAAATATTGAATGGTTTCACTTATAGAAGGAATTTAAGAGAAACCACTAAGACATAGGGGGGAAAGTGCATTGCTATTACAAGACAAAACACAACACAACACAACAAAAACAAACAGATAATTACAAACCAGAGATATCCTACAGGGGGACAGAGAAGGATCAGAAGGACGGAGGAATGTGGGGGACTACGGTGCTGATGGGTGGGTGAAGTGGAGGACAAGGGAAGTAAACATTGTTTTAAAGTGAACAATAATGTAAATAGATAAATAAAATATTTTAAGAAAATGACATCTGTTAAATCCAGAAGTTCACAAAATCCAAGTCATCAGCCCCCAATTCTAAAGTTCCATTAAATTTGTTTTACCCTGATGCTGTTCAGCCTGCTGCCCATTATTCCCATTGAATAAATTTAGAGCAAATTAATTTATTTTTCATCTTTTGGCAGGTTTCACAGTATTAGAGGAAAATAAAAGTGTTCTATTGATTCAATGGTGAATCTGAAAGGCTTTCAGATCTATCCTCAAATCAATGAATATGCTAAGAGTATAGAAACAAAACTAAAATAAAGTGCTAAAACAATGAAGAAGAGGAATAAGCTGTCATGTCACTGAAATCCTCTGGAAAGCAAACTTGAGAACTAAGGCTACCAGTAAATTTACAGCATAGTTAATGTAGTACAAATAGCCCCGGAGTGGGAAGGATCTGGTTGTGTTCAAGAACAGAGAGCAGGACGCATCAGCACTGTGCATGAGAAGTCAGTGCCTGGCAAAGTAGGGGGATATTAGCCACACTGCCCCTGCACACACATGAGCATACACAGGTCCACGTCTTTTGACATGGAACTTGTTAGAGATACTGCTCTTGAAACAGGAATCCTATTTGCTCAACCCTGGACCAGGGCTTGCCATGACATTCCCCAGATGGGACACAGACGTGAGCACAGTCTGTGCTCAGACCCTTGGGGTTACCCTCTTGGGCTCTGTTATTGCCTGTTGATAACTAGCCCCAGAAGAGGCAGGACGCCTGGGGCAGAATGGCCGCAAACAGCCCGCAGTGTGAAGCAGAGCTGACCAGTCCCCGCAACCTCACTCAGCCAGTCTCCAGCCACGCTGCTGGTCTGTGGATCCAAGCAGAGCTGCCCTGGTGGCCAAGTGGATCCATGAGGAAAGGAGTTGTCTTAAGACGAGTGATTGGGATGGTTTGTTCCTCCATGCCATTTCAGCACTAGCCAGTCCTGACAAACGATTTTGCATACCAGATCGGGAGTACTGGTTTGATTGCTGGGAAAGGCTTTTAAGGAGTCTGGTGACATTTGATTTACAGCAACTGTGTCATAAAGCCGTTACAGTGGTCCAGGCAGCAGAAGCATGGACTAAGGGAAAGAGGAATGAAGGTGAAGAGAAGAGAATGGAATCACGAAGCCTGTTGTGTAGTGGAGCAGAGAAATAAAGTGGTAGTTTGGGGGCTGGAGAAATATAAGAAGGGAAGGCTTAGTAAGCTGAGAAATAGAATTACTGGCAAGATGATTGCATGCTGAGGGGAAGGACCCAGGAGAGGGAGGGGCTCACTGTGAGGCTCACCCTGTTCTAGACCCTTCACTGCATCCACTCCTTTATTCTGCACAAAACTCTTGTCAAAGAGATAACATTCACACCCACATCTTACAGATGGGGCAACCTTGGCTTTCTGGGTGCATGAGGCATGAAGGGATTTATTCTGGCCCTTTGGGAGGACCAGTACCAGGTAGAGCTGAACCTGGACCAGTGGACATCACTTGTCTTCTGTTCACCTGACCATGGGGTAGTCTAGGTAGGAAGCGGGGGTGTGAGGGCCTCCTTCGTCTGTCTGCAGGCAGAGGGGGCTGGCAGTGCAGGTACAACACAGCAGACAGTCTTCTTAGAAAAGGAATTCCTCGCAGTTCTGGTGCCATTGTACAACAAGGAAAAATCATTTTCCTGCTTCCAGGGACAGTGATCAAAGACATTAG